TGTTTGTGTCCTCTCTTATTTCATTGAGTAGTGGTTTGTAATTCTCCTTGAAGAGGTCCTTTACATTCCTTGTTAGTTGTATTCCTAGCTATTTTATTCTCTTTGTAGCAATTGTGAATGGCAGTTAGTTCTGATTTGGCTCTCTTTAAGTCTGTTATTGGTGTATAGGAATGCTTGAGATTTTTGCATATTGATTTTATATCCTGAGACTTTGCTGAAGTTGCTTATCAGTTTCAGGAGATTTTGGGCTGAGACGATGGGGTCTCATGTCATCTACAAATAGAGGCAATTTGACTTCCTCCTTTCCTACTTGAATACCCTTTTTTTCTTTTTCTTGCTTGATTGCTCTGGCTAGAACTTCCAGTACTATATTGAATAGGAGTGGTGAGAGAGGGCATCCTTGTCCAGTGCCCGATTTCAAAGGCAATGCTTCCAGTTTTTGCCCATTTAGTATGATACTGGCTGTTGGTTTTTTTGTAAATAGATTTTATTATTTTGATATATGTTCCATCAATACCTAGTTTATCGAGGGTTTTTAGCATAAAGGGCTGTTGAATTTTGTCAAAGGCCTTCTCTGCGTCCATTGAGATAATCATGTGGTTTTTGTGTTTGGTTCTGTTTATGTGGTGAATTATGTTTATAGACTTGCATATGTTGAACCAGCCTTGTGTCCCTGGGATGAAGCCTGCTTGATCATGGTGGATAAGCTGTTTGATGTGCTGTTGCAATCAGTTTGCCAGTATTTTATTGAAGATTTTTGCATCTATGTTCATCATGGATATTGGCCTGAAGTTTTCTTTCCTTGTTGAGTCTCTGCCAGGTTTTGGTATCAGGATGATGATGGTCTCATAAAATGATTTGGGAAGGATTCCCTCTTTTTGGATTGTTTGGAATTGTTTCAGAAGGAATGGTACTAGCTCTTCTTTGTATGTCTGGTAGAATTTGGCTGTGAACCCCTAGAGAAATTATTTATTTAGACCCACATGCATGTTTATTATCTTGTTTGCTCACCATTCTTCTGGTGTTTCAAAATTATTCACTAGTATTTTTTTTTCTTCGTGAAGCATGTCCTTTAGAAGTGCCTTTGGTAGGCCTATGTGTGTGCCAAATTTCTTAAGTTTTATTTATCTAAAGGTATCTTTATTTCAGCCTCATCTTGCAATACAGTATTGGTGATTGAGTACACAGTTCTAAACTGAAATTATTTTATTTGATCACTTTTAAGATACAATAAAGTCTCCTCATAATAAGATTACTGAGGATGAATATTTTTAACTTGGTAAAAAGAAGAGTGGGCTTATTGTCATAACTAAAGAAATGAGTTACCTGAGCCTGTCTAGCTGATTGACTAGAAGTTCCAGTGGTCTGGCTTTATAATTAAAATATTTAATCATCCTGGTTGTGGTTTGGTATCACATGGTTGTGGTGGTGACTTTCTGCTCCAAAATAATTGTCAAAGGGTGCCAGTTCTGGATCCTGTCTCACTGGCTAGGACTTGCAGAACAGTGGCAGCAATTGTAGTTATCTCATATTTAGCTGGGGCCCATTTAGTAGGTCTAATCAAAAGAGATTGGGCAAGAATAATGCTGGAAATAAAAGAGTCATCCTCTGGCTCCCTGTTTCCTGAGATAGAGTGCTGACTTTTCCTTCCAAACCTTACTATGTCCCCTAACCTATCTTACCATTCAGAAGATAGAAGTTTATTTCACCCAGTTTGAGAATAGAACTAGACAGAAGGCTGCCAATCATTAGTGAGTAATTGATTATTAATAACCAAGCATGCTGGATCCAAATTTTTATTATAATGGGATTTATTATCATCAAATTCTGCTAATTATTTACTATCTTATTGGCTTTCATTGTAGCTATTAAAACACCTACCTTAATTATTTCTTTGTAGGTTATCTGTCTTTTTTTTCCTCTGGCCTGCTTTAAGGATCCCTTTTTTCTTTGACGTTTTGCCATATATGACAGCTTTAGGAATATATTTAAAAATGTATCCTCTTTGCGATGCACTGTGCTTCTTGAACTTACACATTTGTATCTTTCCTAATTCTGTAAAATTCTAAGGAATTAACTTTTTAAATATTGCTTCTCAATTTTTAAAATCTATCCTTCTTGAAATCTGATTTTTGATATGTCAGATCTTTTCAGTCTAACATCTGTACTGTTTAACCATTCTCTGTTCATTCTGAATCATTTTCTCTGCTATGTTATTGTTTACTAATTTTCTGTTTCTATCTGCCATTTGACCTATTCATTGAGTATTTTCATTTCAACAAACAGGTGTTTAATATCTAAAAGCTTCATTTGATTACTTGTCACATTTGCCTGGTCATTCCTGATGGTCTCTTGTTGATGGCTCATTGTTGTGATTCTATCCCTTATGTCTATTTCTTTCTAAATAGATTTTCTATATTTCACAGCTGATAAAATTTTAATATCTGAATTTCTTGGAGGTCTAAATATTTGTTATATCTTCTAATTTTACACTCCTGATGAGTTGCTTCCTTTGTGTCTGGTGATTTTTGTTGGTGAGCTCACATTTTCTTAACCTTAACCTGGGAATCTACTGGGCTCAACTAGGAAATTTTTCTTGAAAAAGATCTATCTGTGTTTGAATCTGGTAGGACTGTTGCGGTGCTACCAGTCCACTTTTAGCCTCTTTCAGTTTTTAGCTTAGCACAGAGGTCTCAAATTTAGCTCTTCCATATTACTGTTGATATAAGCCTTGTTTTCTGAATGCAATTCCTTGGGCATTTTCTCATCTTAACATTTTTATTCTTTATTCTTTTTTTTTTTTTTTTTGGGACAGAGTCTCACTCTGTTGCCCAGGCTGGCGTGCAGTGGCATGATCTCGGCTCACTGCTACCTCCAACTCCTGGGTTCAAGCAATTCTCCTGCCTCAGCCTCCCAGGTAGCTGTCAGCAGGGCACATGGGAATTTCTCCTACTTCCTTCAAGTTCCATAATGCATAGGTAAGTTTCTGTTTTGTTTTGTTTTTCAGAATCTGGTTGTTGTACAGTGGAAGGTGTGGCAGAGCATCTAGCTCAGAATTTTGTTGAAGAAGAAAATTTCTTTTAACTTACTTTTTTTAAAAAAGTATTTAATTTTTTAGAAGTTTTTTAATATTTTTATTTATTTACTTTTTTAAATTGCATTTTAGGTTTTTGGGGTACATGAGCAGAACATGCAAGATAGTTGCATAGGTACACACATGGCAGTGTGTTTTGCTGCCTTCCTCCCCTTCACCCACATTTGGCATTTCTCCCCAGGCTATCCCTCCCCAGCTCCCCCCCACCGCTGTCCCTCCCCTATACCCTTCAATAGACCCCAGTGTGTAGTACTCCCTTCCCTGTGTCCATGTGTTCTCATTTTTCATCACCCACCTATGAGTGAGAACATGCGGTATTTCATTTTCTGTTCTTGTGTCAGTTTGCTGAGAATGATGTTCTCCAGATTCATCCATGTCCCTACAAAGGACACGAACTCATCATTTTTTATTGCTGCATAATATTCCATGGTGTATATGTGCCACATTTTCCCAGTCCAGTCTATCATCGATGGGCATTTGGGTTGGTTCCAGGTCTTTGCTATTGTAAACAGTGCTGCATAGCGATTCCTCAAGACCTTAGAAATAGAAATTCCATTTGACCCAGCAATCCCAAAAAGACAGACACTGTAAGTTTCCACTTATATGAAGTATCAAGAATAGTCAAATTCATAGAAACAAAGGCTAGCAACTGGGCCTGGGGGAAATAAAGGGTTGATTAATTAATATACAGTTTCACTTGTGTAAGATGAAAAACTGGAGATTTAGTACTCAATGTTCTGAATACACTCATCACTACTGAACTACCCATTTAAAGATGGTTAAGATGGTAAATTTCATGCTTATTACCACATACATATATATATTTGTTGATAACACTTGAAGAAAGAAAGGAAATGGTTACCACAATATTGCAGCAGTCTCTCCTCTGTGGGATGTGATCTGAAAAAGGCACACAAGCAAATTAAAAAAAAAATTTGTTCCTTAAGTTCAAGTGTTTTTCATCATCCTCTAAAAGGATAAGCTCTTACAAATTTAATTTTTAAAATCAACTCCCCAGGAAAGGGAAGATGTGCCAGTACAAAAGCTCTAAAAATAAAGAACTAAAGGATAGGGAAGGCAAAAGGAAAGAACCAAGAATTCTCTCAGTATTATTAACTTTAAAGTCTGTTTTCTAAATAATAAAGGATCAATTTCTGTACAACAACTTAAGGTTATAAGTGGTACTGGTCAAAGTAGACGCAACTTTATATAACTACCATATATCTTTTTTTTTTTTTTTTTTGAGACAGAATTTTGCTCTTGTTGCCCAGGCTGGAGTGCAGTGGCGTGATCTCTACTCACCACAACTTCCGCCTCCTGGGTTCAAGCAGTTCTCCTGCCTCAGCCTCCTGAATAGCTGGGATTATAGGCGCGCACCACCATGCCCAGCTAATTTTTTGTATTTTTAGTAGAGACCAGGTTTCACCATGTTGACCAGGATGGTCTTGATCTCTTGACCTCGTGATCCACCCGCCTCAGCCTCCCAAAGTGCTGGGATTATAGGCATGAGCCACCCCCCAGCTCCAAATATCTTTTTTTTTTTTTTTTTTTTTTGATTTGAGACAGACTTTTGTTCTTGTTACCCAGGCTGGAGTGCAATGGCACGATCTCGGCTCACCACAACCTCCGCCTCCTGGGTTCAAGCAATTCTCCTGCCTCAGCCTCCTGAGTAGCTGGGACTACAGGCACGCACCACCATGCCCAGCTAATTTTTGTATTTTTAGTAGAGACAGGGTTTCACCATGTTGACCAGGATGGTCTCGATCTCTTGACTTTGTGATCCACCCGCCTCGGCCTCCCAAAGTGCTGAGATTATAGGCGTGAGCCACCATGCCCAACCTCCAAATATCTTTTTTAAATATGGAGCCAAATGATATCAGTCCCTCAGCCTCCCTATATTGCTCACCAAAACAGGAGAAATCAGACAGGACAGTGGTAGTCCTCAGTGGTCTGAACAAGGGAAAGCAGAAAGAGGCCCTGAGGGCCAGCATTCTGCCTGGAGAAATCAGAAGCTCATGGCTACACAGTATACAGCTCGTTCAGAGGCTTCCCACTTCTGAATGGTTTCCTGCTAAGAAAAAAAAAAAAGGTAAGGTTCAAAAACATATCTACATGGTTCCTTATGGGGGGTGAGGGGGGAAAGAAATTAAAATGTTTAATTCTTCTCAATAGCTTTAGAACATGCAAATCAAATTCTGAATTTTCTACTGTCTACATCAGTGGGGACTCTGGTCAGATACAGACAGGTCACTGATGCTGACTGAAAATCACTTATATTCTACTCTTATTTTTATTTGCAATGCATTCAGAAAAAAAAAGTTTGATTAAAATGTTTCTCATCATTCTACTCAAAGTACCACAGGCTCTTTATTCTATCAAATTAAATTATCACTCTGAAAAAATACAAGGAATTCTTTAAAGATAAAATGTACAAACTCCAAATAGAATCTTGAGTCCTGCCCTATACCCTGAACTCCAGATTCACATCTTCAGTGTTCTTCACATTTCTACTTCAAAGTCTAGCCAGCATCTGAAACTTAACACAGTCATAAGGAGTATCTTTCGTATCCACCCTTTCTCATCTTCCAACAGCCATTTTTCTTCCAGGCTGGTGTAAAAGGCTGTCACGCTTACCTTCCACTGAGCTGTTAACATTTAAACTGTCTGTGGGCTGCAAAGCTAAAAGAACACTGATTGTAACACTTCTTCTGGGGCCTCAGGGCCTGCACAGAGTATGGCTCCTCCTCGTACTTAAAAGCACTCACCCCAGCTCCTGCACATGCTTACCTGCATTTTCCCTACCACAATGGGTTGAGCACAGGGGGCTCTGGTGATTGGAGCCTGCCCCTGCCAGCGCCTAAGTGCTACTTCCAGCACCCACACCCCAGTTCCTGCCAGCAAAGGGGTCAGGGAAATTATCCTGCTTCACTCTCTCAGTCAGGTGACCAAATCAACATCAACAGTGATCAGTCACATTGAAAGTACACACCCTTTATATGATGTGATGAAAAGGACACTTCATCTTTTCTGTCTTCCTCCCAGACATCCATAAACCCAGATGTATCATGAGAAACACATTTGATAAATCCCACTTGAGGGACATTCTACAAAATACGTGACCAGTAGTCCTCAAAGCTGACAAGGTCACCAAAAAAGAAAGAAAAGCCTGAAAAACTGCCACAGTCTAAAGGAAGCCAAGAAGACACAATGACTAAATGTAATATGGTAACCTGCATAAGATCCAGGAACACAAAAAGGACCTTGTTATAAGCTGAATGTTTGTGGCCTCCCCAGAATCCTCATATGTTGAAGCTTTAACCCTGAATGTAATAGTTTCCAGAGCGAGGGTGTTTGGGAGGGAATCAGCATTAGATGAAGTCATCAGGGCAGGGCCCTGGTCTGATGGGATTAGTGCTCTTATAAAGAGACACAGAGAGCTTGTTCTTTCTCTCTTTCAGTGAGAACACACCTAGGAAAGGGGACTGTGCCATGTGCAGGTGAGGAAGAGAGTCCTCACTGGAACTCAACCATCCTGTCACCTGATCTCAGACTTTCAGCCTCCAGATCTGTGAAAACAAATTTCTTTTTTGTCACCATCCCCGCTGGGCTCACGGGGCATGGCTCTGCTGCAGTGGCCGGGTCACCTCCATGAAGTGATTGCTCAGGGTGGGTCCTGAGTCATTCTTGAAGGTCTGGCTGACACAGAGATGCCTCTTGTTGCTGCTCTTGTCCCAGTGCTTCCATTAGCTCACCTTCAGTTCGAGCGATTCTCCTGCCTCAGCCTCCGGAGAAGCTGGGATTACAGGCACCCACCACTACGCCTGGCTAATTTTTGCATTTTTAGTAGACATGGTAGACATGGGGTTTCACCATGTTGGCCAGGCTGGTCTCGAACTCCTGACCTTGTGATCCGCCCACCTCAGCCTAACAAAGTGCTGGGATTATAGGCATGAGCCACTGCACTCGACCTTTTTTTTTTAAATTTATTATTTATTTTAGAGACAATCTCATTCTGTTTCCCAGGCTGGAGTACAGTGGCACCATTTTGTCTCATTGCAACCTCTGCCTCCTGGCCTCAAGCAACCCTGGATGAATAGGCATAAGTCTGAGGCTGAAGTGCCAGCCCTGGATCCATTCCTATGTGGCTATGCTATTGGGAGCAAGTTCATCTCTATGGGGGATGAGCTCAGGGTACTCAGATCACCACTTGCCTGACTCTGGTGCTCTCTCTAGACATCCCACCTGGCCTGACACCCACCTTGTGGCTGAAGGCCGGGATCTGTGTGCAGTGGAGCTCGTGGCCCAGCTCCAGCCTGTAGGTGCCGTCATTCTCGGTCTGCAGCCTCTGGCTGGTGCTGCACCTTGCGCTGGCTGTTTTGCTGAGCTGTGAGGATCAATCAAGAGACCCCTGTCCTCCTCTGCCAGGCAGGCCTTCACCAGGGCTCCAAGAAGAGGAGGGCCCAGCCCAGCCTGGCCTCAGCTGCGTCCCCCCGCCCCTATGCACTGCTTCGCCTGTCACTCCATTAGAATCTGTCCATGGGGAGGTCTTAAGAGATGGATGAATGTCCCCTCAACAGACACACCCTTTTTTTAAATGAGCAGGTACTAAGTCCTATTCAGAGCCCACCGAATGACTAATGGAAAATCCTGTGGTGACAGCATATCTTAGCTCGCAGAGCCACAGCCACAGGAAACAGGGCAGGCCCTGCTACCTCCACCTGCCCCGCAGCCAGGCACACAGTGCCTTACCCAGGAAGCTGTACTGGATCCTCAGGGAGTTGGTCCAGAGCTGGCCCCACTGCTGCAGCAGGCCAAGGGCACACAACCCCGCCAGCCCTGGCACGAAGAGCTTGGCACCCAGGGCAGCCATCCACCATCCCTCCTCCTCCTCCCTTTCCAGCAGCGCTGCAGGGACAGACAGCAGGCAGGTGAAAGGGTCAGCCCCTAGAGACCAACACCCCCAGCCCTAGGCAAAGAGGGGACTCGGAAATACCCCAGGGGCCTTGGGGTTGGGGGCTCCTTGAAGAGCCAACACCTGTTTCCTGCACAACAGGCCATAGGCAGGCCTGATCACGACCCACTGCAGCCTTGACCTCCCAGGCTCAATCGATCCTCCCACCTCAGCCTCCCAAGTAGCTGGTACTACAGACATGTGCCACCACATTGGCTAACTTTTGTATTTTTTTTTTTTTGTAGAAACAGGGGTCTCACTATGTTGCCCAGGCTGATCTTGAACTCCTGGGCTCAAGCAATCCTCCTGCCTTGGCTTCCCAAAGTGCTGGGATTATAGGCATGGGACACTGTGCTTGGCCCAAAAATAAAGTAGAATGAGGCCAGGCACAGTGGGTCATGCCTGTAAACCCAGCATGCCAAGGCAGGCAGATTTCCAGAGGTCAGGACTTTGAGACCAGCCTGACCAACATAGTGAAACCCTATCTCTACTAAAAATACAAAACAAACAAAATTAACAAGGTATGGTGGCAGGCACCTGTAATCCCAGCTACTCGGGAGGCTGAGGAAGGAGAATCGTTTAAACCCAGGAGGCAGAGGCTGCAGTGAGCCAAGATTGCCCCAGTGCATCCAGTTCCAGCAACAGTGTGAGACTCTGTCTCAAATAAATAAATAAAGTAGAATGAAACAAAATCAAATAGGACAGATGACAAAAGAATTAACCACACATCATGGGTTGTCAGGTAAATTCCACCTTCTGAAGGTCTGCTTCTGCAACACTGAAGGTCATCCAGAACACACAGGTGGAAGTGGGCCAGCTGTTATGACTCCCAAGCACCCACATGAGGTGGTCAACAGCCACCGCTCCAAGTGCCCCCAGCCCCAGCTCCTGTCCTTACCTTGGAATCTTTAAGAACTCATAAGTGGCACACCCAGGTGCCACCACCTCAGCTCTGGCACAGGGCCAGCACCTGCTCAGCCTGTGTGTGTGTTTTAAATGCCCAGCATATTTTAGGTCAAAATGTTACATGTGTTTCTTATTGTTGGCAAGAATAAAAACAGCCCAAAAGCTGCTATTTTAAGGTTTGTGGGGGAGGTTGAAGGTTGGGGGAGGTTCTGGAGGCTCACACTGAGCCTGTGTCTATCCTTAGATGGGATGTTGACATTGAGAGGCTGGGTTGATGACGACCATCAGGAGGCATTTGGCCCACACCCTAGCCTGGCTACGGAGGAGACGGGGCACAAGGGGTCTCATCTCCTACCTGTCACGTGGGCCTGGTCACTCAGCAGATGGCTCGGCGATGCGGGGAGGCCAGCTTGCTGCCTGTCTGCCACAGGAGGTTCCCTGTAAAGATGACAGGGCTGCCCCCATCACCAGTTTCATCTCCAGCTGCGCCTGGAACCACTCGGGCTTGCTGACCATGGGTGGCTGCAGGTCACTGTAGTCCTGAAAAGGCCTTGGTGTCACCTGGAATGACAGGCTTGACCAGCAGGCCCAGCCATGACACACAAGCTGGGACTGGAGACAAGGCAGGAGACAGCCCAGCTAATGGCTTTCTATGCCAGTCCTTCCCCAATTTTTGTTTGTTCTTGAGACAGAGTCTCACTCTGTCACCCAGGCTGAAGTGCAGTGGCAGGATCCTGGTTCACTGCAAACTTCACCTCCCAGGTTCAAGTGATTCTTCTGCCTCAGCCTCCCAAGTAGCTGGGATGACAGGCACACACCACAGTGCCCAGCTAATTTTTCTATTCTTAGTAGAGATGGGGTTTTGCCGTGTTGGCCCAAGCTGGTCTCAAACTCCTGAGCCCAAGTGATTCACCCGCCTTGGCCTCCCAGAGTGCTGGGATTACAGGTGTAAGCCACTGTGCCCAGTCTGTCCCCAATTTTTTAAACTCCAGATTTCTCAAAATTAGAATCCTGTATTACAAACTCAGACGTAAGTACAAAGGACTCCTCTGCTCTCCTTGACAACCCCCTCGTTGGATCCATCAGGAACTCAGTAGATCATTGCTATGGAATGTGACTAGAATCAACCCCATCTGTCACCTCCACTACCCACCAGCTCCAGCCCTGGTCATCGTGCCTGTCTCACTGTAGCATCCTCCTGGCTCTCCCAGCTC